GCGCGCCCCGGGGCCGCGGCCTGCCGCGGCCCGGCGGCCTGCGACGAGGGGCAGGGGTCCACGGCTCCAGGCACAGGCTGTGCCCAGCAACGAGCCGTGCCAGCTCTCTGCATGCAGGACATGGTGCCGCGCCCGCGGGCTCCTGCTCTGAAAGCAGGCTGAGCGCAGCTCACACGATCCAAATCTCGCAGGATGGCCTCCTGCTTTCTGAAGCGCCTCGTGCTTTCAGAAATGAAAAATCCCTCGTCATCTGGCTCCTTTGTTCTGCCCGCAGGTTACAGCCCTGCGAGGCCAGGGCGGGAGGGAGCCGCATCTCCTCTCCTTGCAGCAGGAGCCGGCTGCCTGCCTGCTGGTAAAATTAGCGCCGGTCTGAGAGGGGCAGAGCAGCGCTCGCGCAGCACGGTAACGAGCTGGGAGCCCGAGCCCTTCCCCAGAGCCCCGGCTGACGGTGTGGGGATGAGATGGGGGTTTTGGGGGAGAAGGAGTCGTGACTCAGAGGCAGAAACGATCTGTTATTTTATAAGAGCACATTAGTGCAGCGAAACGCACCGGGATTGCTCTCGGGGAGAAGGAAGCAGAAGGCAGCCAGGCGGAGGGAGCAAGGAGGCAGAAAATCGGAGGGGAGGAGAGAGGTGCGCCTGGTCCTGGCTGCAGCGGTCTGCGAGCGAGGCAGAGGGGCTGAGTCCAGCCCATGGTACTGAAGGGTGCCACGTTGCCATCCCGGCCACCCACGGCGAGATGGATAACCTTTTCCTGCTGCTTGATGCTGAAGCAAGCTGGCATTGCCCCGAGGTGAGCGACGGAGAGTGAGATGAGAGAAGGCAGAGAGGAAGGATGGGGAGATAGGACAGGGCTGTCTGCTTTTCCCCCCAGTCTGGCTCCCTTTCCTCTCCCTCGCCTTGGCCAGGTCTATTCACAGCACACGCTGAGGGCAACCGGGCTGATTCCAAATTATTCTCGCAGCACCGGCAGAGAAACCACGTTGCCAACACCGCACAGACACGGTCAAGACCCACACGCCACAGAGCCAGGCTGCAGCCCCTGCAACACAGACCAGCAGCCCGTGTCCCTACCGGGCTCACCACCTTGCGACGACGGCTGCAAACAGCGTTTGCCAATATTCAGAATCAGAGCGGGCGACCCGTGGCCTGCGTGTCACCTCGGGATCGGAGCCCAGGGTGCAGGATGGTGCTAAGACGCATCTGCTGAATGCCCGCAGCTGCCTGCCCGCGGGTGCAGCTCCCCCCGAAGCACCCCTGCAAGCAGCTGCTGAAAAGAGCCTCTCCTTGAAGTGTCCTCACGCAAAGGGCCTTTGCACCCCCGAAGAGTTACGGCCGCCCGAGCCTGCTGCCCAGCCCTGGGCAGTGACAGGGACGCAGCCCTGGCATCTCTCGGGGACCAGCGAGATTAGCAGTGGGGCTGCCGGTCTCTGCAGACCAGGGCAGCGGGACAGGCTCTGCGTCTCCCGACCGCCAAGGCACCGCGAGCGATTGCGATTCGAAGGCCCAGCATTGCAACATGTTCAGGCAAAGCTGGTTCCTGCCTCCTACCTGCACCTTACGCGCAGGTTGCAAAGCTACAAAAAATATTCCCTGTGCATTCCTTTTCTTTCTTTCTTTTGTTTTAATAAGAAACCTCTCCAGTTTTTCTTCTGTAAGGGATGCAGCACGGACAGAATTGCTGACGGCCTGGAGCGCAATCAAGATTTTGCTGGACTGCGTTCCTGATCAACCGGGATGCTGAGCACGTACCCATGGGCCCAAACACACCCAGCACGCCTCGCCCGCACACAGCCGCTCCGTGTGTGCAGAGAAACATGCGCACACACGTGCATCCAGGCCCACACAGCCAGATCCATATGTTCGCGAGCACACGGGCCCGCTGGCAGGAAGAGCCACGTTTTCAGTCTCCTCGGCTCGCAATCCCTGGGAGCGAGATGAAGGCAGAGACGTATGACATCATCACACCGAGTCCGACGGAAAACCAGACCTGCTCCGGGGCAGCGCCGGGCAGGCTCGCGGGCACGTGCCAGGGGAGAGCATGCTCCGTTAGAAAAAGGAGGGCATCATCTTGCATTGCAGCAACTCTCCGCAGTATTCCCGCTCAGCTGACTGACATGCAAATTAGTTTAATTATTTCTTCTTCTCAAATAAATTATATTTTGCAGTGGCTGCAATATGTTGTGTCAGGCAAAATTACATTCAATATTTTTAAACTAATTGATGTCAGCCTTGAGAAAACCTGATTGACAGCAGTGAGGAAACGAAGCTGCTACCTAAACGGGTTCCTAAATTAAAATTAAACATGCCGTTTTCCTGCATTTCCTTCAGGAGTTTGAATGCCATTAATCTGCAAAGACCAAGCAAAGAGAGGTGGAAAATACGCAGAGCATGAGCAAGCTGCTGGGAGCGCGGCGAGGGAGCGCCAGGCCCGTGACTGGCAGCTGCCGGCTTCAACCCGGGACCAGGAGAAGGATGCGCAGCCCGGTCGAGTCCGACGCGGTTCCAGGACGGGGCTGCGCGGCGCCATTCCCAGGCAGCAGGCGCATCTCGAGCCCCGGCTCCTCTCTGCTCCCTTCCTGCCCCGGACAAATCTGGCCGCAGGGGGACTTTGCTGTCTGCGGGGCGCGTCGTCTTCTGCGGCGCCTCGCAAGCGCGGTACTCAGGGAAGCCCATGGCGCAGCGCACGTGGGCAGGGACCCTCGCCCTGCCTGCAGCGTGTGGAGCCCAGGGATTCCCAGCCCCAGCCCCGGGGCCCAGCAGTGCCGGATCCCGAGGCACGACAGCAAGCACGCTCCACAGTAAAAGCTGTTGTTCAATTAACCAAAGTTACCTAATCAGGTCGTTTTCCTCATGCTATTTACTGAGACACTAAATTCCAATGATTTCATGCTGTCCCTGCTTTCTGCGTGCAGCAGACTGCAGCACCGATGGCATGCAACTGCGGGCAGCTGTCGCTGCGGGACGCTGGCGGTTTCAGGCGGAGGCTTTCAGCAGCAGGGGGTGGGTGTCGAGGGGCGCCTCCACCTCGCCCTCGCAGGCAGGAAAGCCACGCTCTGCGACTTCAGTTCAAACTGAGCTCCTGTCCAGCGACCCTGGACTGCAGCCGGCTGCCCCGCTGCGCCCGGCAGAGATGGACGGCACTCGAACAGGACTTCTCTCCTCCGGACATCCAAGCGCTGGAATGGCCGCGCCATTCAACACCCTGGGCGGCTGGAGCGGGGGCCGCCTCGCCACCTGCAGATGCGGGCGCAGGGCGGTCCAGGCAGGTTGTGCGCTCAGGGCCCCTTTGCAGCCGCGTGCGCTCATTCTTGCAAGGGGACCTCAGCCCCCGGAGCACGGTGCTGACCAGAGACACGACACATCCTGTGGCAAGCGGCAGCGCCCCGGGGAGCGGCCTCCCTGCCACGAAGCAAAAGCGAGGGCGTCGCTGCCATTCCCAGAGCCGACATTCAGGATCGCAGCGAGGCCAGAAGCACGAGGGAGGGACTTGCACCCCACCGCGAGCATCAGGGCGCAGGTCCGAATGGAGCACTTGAGCATCCAGCTGCCCCAGGCTTGTTGGAAGGGGCGTACGCCCACACTTCCCCTCTGTGAGCCCAAGCACAGCTGCCTACACGGGCAGGCAAGCGGCCCTTTGCACATGCAAGATGGGCTCCCGGCGCGGCCGCAGCTGCCAGCACACGACACGGGGGCAGCCACGCGAGCATCAGGGCGCAGGTCCGAATGGAGCACTTGAGCATCCAGCTGCCCCAGGCTTGTTGGAAGGGGCGTACGCCCACACTTCCCCTCTGTGAGCCCAAGCACAGCTGCCTACACGGGCAGGCAAGCGGCCCTTTGCACATGCAAGATGGGCTCCCGGCGCGGCCGCAGCTGCCAGCACACGACACGGGGGCAGCCACCCTCCGAGGACGAGCCGCAGCCGCTGCTCCCGAGGCGAGTGGAAGTGAAGTGGCAGCAGCAGGTAAGAACACATCGTGTGTAGAGAGCTCTCGCCTCCCCCGGGCCCTGCCCTCGCTCAGCGGCTTGAGAGTAATTAAATTGCGTCCAAACACAATGCTCTGATTAAAGCCGGTCTCCAGCAGGAAGATTTATCATCTCAATTACCAGCAGTGGACACAGCAGTCAAGGCCTCATCATTTCACATGAGCAAAGAGGAAAACAAGAAGAGCATCGCTAATATTAGCCCAAGGAAGGTAAACAGCTTGCGTGAGAGATGGAGATGTATCTCTGCGAACGCTGGGGCTGGTCCCAGGTCAGGTTTGCTGAACAAGCCCAAGTCTCCTCCCGGATGCACACTTACCAGGGCCAAACAGCGTGCCCAGCGCCAGGCAGCAGCACCGCTCGCCCTGGCGCCGGGCGCTCCGCCAGCGGCCGGCCCGGACGTCTCCTCCGCGGGAGCCCGAGAGCCACGGGTCCGGCTGCTCACTCCAGAGACCACAGCACCAGGACTGGGCAGCAGCCAGGTCCGAGCCAGGCCTGCCCGGAGCTGCTGCCAGGCGGAGCAGACGAGGGTCCAGGAGCCAACACGCAACAGGCGAGCGCCACGCCAGCTCCTGCTTCGGGAGCCGTCGTGGGGCCCGGGAAGGCACAAACCCCTGAGCGGCGCATCCGCCAAGCACCTGATGACAACCTCCGCCCCAGAAGCATCCACTCTAGCACTCGTTATTTTAGGAAACCGGCTCCGCACCAAGCAGGATCGCCTGGGCTGGAAGGGGCTTCCCCTGGGGCCTGTGCCCCACACGGCCGAACGACGGGAGGAGAGCCTGGATGGAGGATGGGGCTGGGTCCTGGACGAGGACCTGGGGGCTGCACACCAGGGCTGCATCTGGTTTAAGTAGTACCAGAGAACAGAGCCCGCGCCAGGTTAGGGTTAGGGTTACCCGCCTCTCCCGTGCTCACCCGGCTGCCACAGCCTGTCACCACCAGCCTCCAGCCTGTCATCTGCTCTGAGGCCCCGCGCTGAAACTCCTTCTGTCACTTTGAAGGCCTTACCTTTACAACTGCCCTTTCCACCAGAGAATTCAGACATAAATTGTACTTTAAATTCAATATCAGTCATTAATATTTCATGATTACAAAACGTTAAGGATAATGTCACTGGAAGGAACGTCTGGACAGTTAAAATGCATGAGTCAGAACTGGGTGATGGGGGGAAGTCGGCATACTAACGAATCTCCCCGGCTCCCGGAGTAATCGGATCTGACAGCCTCCCTGCTGGAGGGGAACTGCAGCATTCACTGCCTTGTTCCCAAATCGGAGCTGCCGTGTATAAATATTTTCCTTCTGATTCTTGTCACCTCGTGTTTGCTGCAAGAGACAAGTCGCTCAGCGTCGCCAGCGCCCCCTCCGCCGCCCCCCGCTCCCTGCCCACCCTCGCCACCGTGCCCTTGCGGAGGGAACAGCCTGTACCAGCACGGGCAGCCAAGCAGCCTGGACGGGCAGCCCTGCTGCGCTGCCAAGGCCTGCCCGGACCCATCAAGTGTCAGTCGGCGCGCACGACAGCGCCGCGGCATGACAGCTTCCCCGCTAACACGCTGCCCGCGCCAGCCGGTGCGGCAAAGTGCCACTGCCCTCAACGCCAAGTCCCCAGGCCACGAGGACCCTGGGCCTCGGGAGAGTGCCAACGTGCGCCCCGCGTGCCCGCAGCCTTTGCAAACGCCCTCGTCGCCTCTTGCAGGGGATCGGCGCCCAGGCACCAGGCCCAAGCGCCGGGCAGGTGGGAGCGGCCGGGCCGAGTCTGCCGCGGCGCTGGAGGCCGATCCGCGCTGCCCCGTTCGAGGGGCGGGCAAGCAGGGAGGCGCTGGCCCCGTTCCCCACCGCTTGGCAAAGCCGCGATCCCCTCAGCGCCAGCGGAAAGAGCCCGTGGGGGAAAGCCAAAGGGTCAGATCCATTGTCTTACCGGGAAAAACCTGCTGGGCTGCACATAACGAGCCCAGGGCCTGCGCATACATTACAGGGAGAAGCGGGCTTCGAGGGTAATCTCTCTGGCCCCCTACCCAGCAGCTGAACGCCCGTGGTTAATCAAAGCCTTTTCTTTTTTGGCACTATTATTATTTATTTTCTTTTCATTCCCCAGGAGCAGCTGATTCAAAGCCTCCGTGAGCAGCAGGACCAAGGGTTTGTTCTTTTCTTTCGCTAAGTGAAGTAGAAAGGATGAGCACGACTTCTGCGGGGGGCGATTCTGCTCGAGCCCGATGTCGGCAGCCTGCCCCGGCCCCAGCACTGCGACGGGCACGCACGCCCAGGGCTCCTTGCAGACGAGCGGTCCCGAACCTGCCTGCCAGCTCGCACGTCCCCTTATCCCACGGGGAAGGGAAGGCGAGGAGACGGGACCGGCACGCAGCACACGCGAAGCCCGGAAGGGAGCACGGCCCAGCGGGACCGGAGGGCCGGGCAGAGGCTTTGCAGCCAGGGTTCCCGAGCAGACATTTCACAAGACGGCGAGCGAGGTTGCCCGAGGCAGGTGCTCCGTGCTGCACGTCCTGGCTGCCGTGGCGCAGCCTGTCCTCGGTGCCCAGGCCTGAGCGCCAAGCCGACCTGGCGCAGCGGCTCCGCTCCCTGCCTCACTGCCCTTCCCACATCTCAGTATCTTTCCGTCCATGCTCCCTCTCCAGAGTGGCGTCTGGCTCTCTCTCCAGCTCATCTGTATTCACCCATGAGGCAGGTGCTCCCTCTCTACCTGCCATCGTGCTGAATATTTATTCACCAACAAAAAGCGCCTTCCTCTTAGTGGAACAGAGTGTGCCAGCCCTCTCGGGGAGCAGCAGCAGAGGAGCATCAAGAGGCACGCTCAGAAATCCTCTCCGCCGCCTGCCAGCTCTTCCCCGCGCTGCCCGCAGTCCTCCAGGCCCCGGCGAGGGAGCCGACGGATTTGTCTCGCGCAGGGGCTCGTGCGACGGCTGGGGCGCTTGTTCCCTCGCTGGCTTTTTGGAGCGCAGAGGAGCAGGCTGCGCACACCTGGGGAGGCGTGGGGCGGGCGCCAGGAGCGCCTCAGCAGAAGAGATACCCACAGCCTGCAAAGGCAGCAAATGCAGGGGCATCTCCAGACCTCCCAGAGGCCCTTCAGGTTCACCCTTCCTCCAGCCGCCCACCCCGCGGGCAGCCCCCCACAGCCCGAGCACGCAGGGGCGAGGAGAGCTGTCCTCCGCCACGGCCCCGCCACTGCCCACGGCCAGTGCCCGGGGCAGGAAGGCC